TATTTTTGTTGAATTCACATAAGTGGATTAGATGCCTATGCTCTGTTTTATGCGCTGGCTCTTTAAATTTTCCTCTGAACCATGATATGTCTAAATTTGTTCGGTACAATAGCCATAAAGTCATAAATTATTGCAAGCTGATGTTGAGACGCAACTCAGCTTTCTAGTTCTTCTGGAAATTGTCAAAATAAGAGCATAGCAAGTACCGCATTCGTGTCTCTGCATTTACCTGCTACATCCATTTATGGTTTATAATATTGATTGCTTCAAGAAATAGATATATGCCATACATATCTGATTCGAAATTTTGACTTTGTCCTACAGACATGCATACAATCCTATAAACTGTATTGTGTGTGACAGACAATTCGAGAAAATATTTTCCTGCTGAATTACGAGGTTTCAAACCGATGTTTTGACTATAGATGGAAAATGAATGCAGGAAAGATTTTTCTTTTGGCCATATTAACGAAACAGATAAGTTATCTGCAGAATTTAGTACGTCCGAGAAAAAATGAGAAATGTTATCCACTGTAATTTATCAAACTCGAACTCGTGAAATACTTTTCTGCATCTTCTTTCTTCCGGATGATGTAACCACAATTGTTCTTTTTCTTTTTGGCCACCTGACGGCAATGTGTGAAATGATCACCTTTATGATTTCTTCAAACAGTCTCTAAACCCAATCACAAGACTTTGAAATCAGACTATTAATTAGGGTACCATATAATTTTGATGATACCCTTTTCAGAGTACACATTTCATCGATCTGATAAATAAATTTTATCTTAAACAACATTGTTCCGACTTCCAAGTTCATCATAGTTGAATATTATTGTACACTTCCGCCAGGGTGTGCATTTCGTTTCACTTTAGCCATTTAGTTGAGGCATGAATCTGGTCGTCATCATTGTGAGAGAGAGAGAGAGAGAGAGAGAGAGAGAGAGAGAGAGAGAGAGAGAGAGAGAGAGAGAGAGAGAACAATCTTTTATTCGAATCAGTCATACATGAGGTACATAGATTAATTTTGTGTGTATAGCAACCACTTACGGAAACAAGGTTAATGTTTTAATTCAATTATTTGTGTAGCTTATTTTGGTCGTAGATTCTTTTAGTTGTTGTCATACCAAAACTGCTTCTGGAGGTAGTCAACAACCTTCTTGTCCACTTGGAAGGCCTTGGTGAGAACATCGTCAGAAATGGGTGGCTTTGCTCCGAAGACAGCATTAGCAATGGTAATGACTCCTGGATTCTGGCTACTAAGACTAGCAAAGGCCAACGCATATGTGTTTCCGATATTCAACTGGAAGTGAATGAGACCAATAGGGAACACAAACACGTCCCCCTTGTACAGGACTTTGGTGAAGAGAGTGTTGTTTAATTGGTTGGATGTGACAAAGCCAACAAGTAGCGTACCCTCCACCACGACCAGAACCTCAGTTCCACGAGGGTGAGTGTGGGGAGGATTTAGGCCGCCGGGAGCGAAGTCGAGACGTGCCATGGATATTCCAAGAGTGTTGAGTCCTGCAAATTCATTGACGGATGCCGGTGTGACTTTTGATCCTAGCGGATTCGATGTGTTTCCAGGATTCCTGAACCCCATAAAGACGAAATCATCAGCTGTGGCTTGGTTTGGGTCCTTGCAGAACATTCCATTCACGAACACTGCATAACAAAAAGAATTCGCGTTAAAGTTTAGACATCATAATGCAGAAGTGAAGGGCATGAATAATGCAAGAATGAAGGACCAACCTCCAGAGTTCGTGTCTTTAGTGGCCACGCATATGTCCTGAAGAGGACTCGGGTCATAAGCAAAAGCTGTGGCAGCTGCCAAAGCCAATATGATAAAGCTAATCGGAAGAAACTTCATTGTGGTTGTGGATAGGAGTTAGGGCCTTGATCTCAAATTCTAATCCTTGCACAGACTAGTATTGCTTGAGGGAGGAGTGAGGAGTTGCATGGCAACGTGATGTCTCTTTATAGATGAGAATGTTTGACCCAGTGTATAGTTTATTCAGCAAGTGTCCCTGCAGATTATGCCAAGTCTTCAGAGGTTTTATCTATTTTCCCCTTCTCAAATCTATAACAACTACGACGACCAAAAAAACAGGTCTATAACAACTACGACGACTTGGCGATTTGTTTGACTTTGTCTTCTCCTGCTCAAAGAATGCGTATCACCTGATATGGAAATGGTTTTTGATGAAGATTCCATCGTTGTACCTTTTCTTCATTTCTTTTACGACTCTTTAGCATATCTCAAATAAGGCTACCTAGTAAAGAGAATTTCTTGTGCCGGGTCTAATATATTGAAAAGATTGAATAATGTAGATTGCAAAAGAACACTTTCCATAGGGAAAAATTATCAAACAGTCCTAAACCGTATGCACTTGTGTCAATTCAGTTCCAAACTTTTCAATTTGGCCAATTTACTCTTAAACCTATTGCATGTACACCAATTCAGTTCTAAACCTTTTAATTTGGCCAAAATAGTCTTAAACTTATTGCAATTGTGCCAATTTAGTTCTAAATGTTTCTATTGCGACAATTTAGTCTTAAACTTTTTGACTATTTGGCAATTTAGTTCTAAACTTTTTGATGATTTGTCAAATTTAGTCATTCCGGCCAATTTTAGTTGAAAATCATTGATGTGGTGGTCTACTTAGCATTGACCGGACCGTCCTATGTGGCTTGTCGGCCGGTCGACGTTAACGTGGAAATTTTTTTAATAATTATTTTTTCCTTTTTTCATTTCCTTTTTTTCCTAACCCTAACCCTAGGCCTCACTAGCCACGAGCGAGGAACGACCTTTCCAATCATAGGCGAGGGCATCAAGCCAAGGTTGAAAAAAAGGAAAGAAAAAGGATGAGACGAAAAAAAATAAAAAAATTTAGAAAAATAAAAAATTGTTGGTGTTGACTAAACCACTACGTCAGCGATTTTTTGCCAAAATTGCTTGAACTTGCTAAACTGACAAATCGTCAAAAAGTTTAGAACTAAATTGGCGAATGTTAAAGGTTTATGACTAAATTGGCTAAATTAAAAGGTTTATGACTGAATTGGCACAAGTGCATAAAGTTTAGGACTTTTTTTTGGGTAATTTCCCCCTTTCCATAGGCATCTTCATCTCTACGAACCATGGAGGCAGTTGTACGAGGGACTTCTAAACATGCTTGCTCAGCGATTCGGTCTAGGGACAACCAACCGACCTATGCAGAGGAATCTGATTTGTATGGGAACAGGCAGGGAGACGATCTCCGAAGTCAGTACGAAGCTCGTGGCTTTGGCTGAGTTGAAGACGATGACCGCGATGATGCCCTCAGCCGGAATCAGTACAGCGGGCGATGCGGGAAAGGTGGTCGTGGTGGCGGTTGGTACAAGTGCGGAGCTGGACGAATGTGGCGGTTAATAGGTTATGACCATGCAGATGAACAGTGGGATTGAAGTTATGATTACGGTGCTAGTCAGTGGGATCGTGGTGGTGATGACCGCGGCCATTGGAGGCAGGGGAATAACAACCATGAAGGAATTGAATTTGCAAAATGTCCTACTGAGAAGGTTGTTCAGGAGCAAGAAATTGAAAATTTTGTTCCATCGAAGAATATGGTTGGAATGTTTTCTTGAAGTAATGAAACTTGCACTCGCAATTTGACATATCAAAACTTGAGGTCGAGTTTTTTTCAACATTAGCAATATGGTGCAAGAAGCAATTGAGACATCATTGAAATTTGACGTTGAATTAATATTTTTTATTTGTTTGATGCTTTTGATTTAGATATGTATAGGAGGTTATTTTGTTATTTCAGAAATTATTTTGTATTTTATATGATATTGTTATATTTTAAACTAGGCTTACTTTCCAAGTTTTCTAGTTAGGGTTTTATGCATATAATAAGGTGTTGGATTTTCGCGTAATTTCGCTTATCCTTTTGAGTTAGTGACATGATTATAAGAGGCTTTTCTTTGAGCTTGCGCCTTAAGCAGATTTGTTTGTGCGTACATGTTTTGCGAATTTTACTTGTGTTTATCCTTGTTTCAACTGCGTCATTATATTAGACGAAATAATAGATATATTTTTTTCATAATTTTATATAAAATGTTATTAGCTCAATCTTTGAGAATATGGAGATCAGAGATAGGCAAGGAAATTTTCCAACTAGTTCAAAACTTATTGTACATATGCCAGTTCAGTCCTAAACTATCTAATTTTACCAATTTAGTCCTAAACTTTTGCACAAAATCCAATGTAGTTCTTTTAGCCAATTTTCGTTGGAAACTGCTGATGTGGCGATGTGCCGCGTAGGACGATCGGCAATAACTGAATTGCCATGTCAGCCATTTCAAGCAAAAATTGATTAGGACTACGTTGGAATTTTATACAAATGTTTAGGATTAAATTGACAAAATTGAAAAGTTTATAACTGAATTGGCATCCGTACAAATAATTTAGAACTAATTGGGTAATTTTCTTGAGATAGGCCACAATCCCCAGATCATATAGATAGTTTTTTTTTTTTTTGGGTCTTGATCATATAGATAGTTCAAAACCATAATTCGTCTAAATACACTAATCATAGCCCAAGAATTAGTCAAAACCTAAGCAAGAAATCTCTTTATTTTCATGTATTTTCATTGTTAAGGTAAATTGTTTGTCCTAAAATGGAAAACATATTAATTCAAGTTAATGTTCTCCTAGGTATTATCCTGTCACGAAAGGGCCGCGTGCCATCATAATCGGGGAAACTTCTGCGTGATCACCATTAACATCCTACATTAATCAGAACCTTTCGATCAATAAGATAACGAATAAATGCTATAAAGTAGAGATTGGAAGATTATGCCAAAACAGAAGGCCAACTACCAATGCAACTTGTTTGGCATGATGGGTCATATATTTGACTCTGAAGTTATTCATCTTTGTTGTGTGTTCTTCTTCATCATGCCATTGATGCCATTAATAGCATTGAGAATCCACTCGTTGGATCATGTAAGAAATCCAACTTTTCTATCTTCTCTTTTCACTATATATATTCCAGATTGCAGTGCATGTTGAAATGGCATTGATTAGAGCTTTCTTTCCATTCTGATTTTACCTTTGGTATCTCCTCTTTCGCAAAAGTAAAAGCATTGCATAGAGAGCTTCATCTATTATATCATTGTCGAAAAACACAATCGTCATTAACTTAATCAAATTACATCATCTATATATATATAGTGAGCATTATGGCTCACTAATTATAGAGAAGACTAAACTACCCTTTCAACACTCCCCCTCAAGTTGGGGCATAAACATCAAAGAGCCCTAACTTGTTACACAAAGTAATCACTCTACTACCTTGCAATGACTTAGTGAAAAGATCAGCAAGTTGGTCTTCAGTCCGTGTGTATTGAAGTGTTATTTCCTTGTTTTGAATCTTTTCTCGCACAAAATGGCAATCTACTTCAATGTGCTTCGTACGCTCGTGAAAAACTGGATTTGAAGCGATATGCATAGCAGACTGGTTATCACAACACAGAACTGAGGGAGCTGAAAAAGACATACTAAGTTCGGATAATAACATCTTCAACCAAATCAACTCACTAGTCACATGAGCCATGGCCCGATATTCCGCCTCAGCACTCGATCGAGACACCACCTGTTGTTTTTTACTTTTCCAACTCACAAGATTGCCTCCCAAGAATACACAATAACCAGAAGTTGATCGCCTATCAAAAGGACAACCAGCCCAATCAGCATCAGAGTAGCCAATAACATCAAGATGTCCATGATTCTTGAACAATATCCCTTTACCTGGTGCTCCCTTCAAGTATTTAACTATACGTAGCACTGCATCCCAATGTGTAGTACGAGGAGTACTCATAAATTGACTAACAGCACTAACCGCAAAAGAGATATCTGGTCGGGTAACAGTTAAATAATTGAGCTTACCCACCAGTCTCCGATACTTACTTGGATCATGAAGTAATTCACCTTGTTCTGCATCAAGCTTCACATTAGGATCCATCGGAGTATTAACAGGCTTCGCTCCAAGAAAACCAACCTCACTAAGAATATCCAATACATATTTCCGCTGTGATAATAAGATACCATCACGTGAGTAGGCCACCTTAATGCCCAAGAAATACCGCAAACAACCTATATCTTTTGTGCTAAATTCTGCCTGTAAAAACTGTTTCAATTTTTTTATGCCCACAGAATCACTACCAGTAATGATAATATCATCCACATACACAATCAGGAGAACACATCCAGCATGGGAAGTAGAGCTAAATACAGAATGATCTACGGTACAACGTCGCAAACCAAACCGAATAACTGCATCACTAAAACGACCAAACCAGGCACGAGGAGACTGTTTCAATCCATATTGTCACGCCCCGTACCCCACGAAGCATGAACATCCGCGTATAGGTCGAAATAAGGTGCGACGCTCCCAGGTTACGTCACCGACCCGAAAACCCAAATCAGAGAAAACACGCCACATGCGGAAACGACGTATATATATTATATATATACACCCAGACAATTTAAAAGCAACCATGAGTAGCACAAGCCAACAAAATTCAAACGATTAAAAACAACATATACATTCATTATAACACTTATATATACAATATCCATTAAAACCAGAGCTACAACAAAAGGGCTACGAGTACAAAAAGGGATCGGTGGCCTAGGGGGATCGATTAACCACTAGAGGCTACAGTCAAAAAGTATCGGCCCTCGCCCCTAAAACTGAGGTCTGCCCTAGGATATCCAGTTGGGGTCAGACCCAGACGTCTCGGAAGAATTCTCGGAATGCTCTGGTTCCTCCTCTGAACTCATAGCCTCAAACTCTATCTCGGGCTCGGGGTCCTGCTCCTCGGCATTCTATGGACGGGGGTCTGAAAATGTCGGTTTTACCACAACCGTGAGAAAACTCATCAAGTACAAACCACTAATCCTAAACTAGGCTAATGTGCACCTCCAGAAGGTAAATAAAACGCATCAAAATATGAACCAGTAATACAACATTAATTCACCCGAGCTCACAGCCCAATATAATGTCTCATAGCCCTGCAGGTTAGGCATTTGGCATCACTATAAGTCAAGTGCAATTATACCGACCCGAAGGCCCACAGTTGGATATAACGACCCGTAGGCCCGACCCGAAGGCCACAGTTGATAAAACGACCCGTAGGCCCGACCCGAAGGCCAACAGTTGATAAATCGACCCGTAGGCCCGACCCGAAGGCCACAATTGATTATAACGACCCGTAGGCCCGACCCGAAGGCCACAGTTGATAAAACGACCCGTAGGCCCGACCCGAAGGCCACAATTGATTATAACTCAGGCAAGTACATCGTTTCACTCAATTTCAACCAATCACCACTTGATATGCAAAACATATGCTCGGGAATTTAAGGTTAAATATCGATGCCAAAACACCAAGCATAACCATGCTCAAATTAGACATGTTCATCTCATTCTTGGCATACCCAAGCATTTCCACTCTAATCCAATCCATTTCAAGTTCATTCCGCGCATTCATTTCACACCTCAATCTAATGCGCCTAAGGCCCGCCTTGGGCAATTCAATCTCAATATTCGTTTTCACCACTTCGGGGTCATACGATAGGATTCATACAAGTCCTACTCAACCCCTAAAAATGCCTAAACTCAAGTCAATAGCCAAAGAACCAATTAAGTCTCCAATTAAGCCCAATGGTACAATTCGGTTCTGGTGAACAGTACCAGAACCGAATGTCCATTTTGCACCAAACTACCCCTAAACAATTCCATTAGGCCTCAATCAAATACTATAATCACCCAAACATCAAATACACATAATCAAGCCTCAATTAAGCTTAATTAAGCCCTATAATGACCAATTCAAGGTCACCAACAATTGAACCCAATTAGTACAAACTTAGACAAATTAAAACAATTTCGGAGCCCCATGAACAGTACCAGGAAAAATGCACATTTAGGCACTAATTCACCTTTAAACCATCTCATTAAGCCCTAATCACCTACCCTAAACATCCAACCACCAAATACACATAATTAAGCCTCAAATAAGCTTAATTAGTCTACCAAATGCCTAATTTTAAGTCATTAACCATTGAACTCAATTAGTACAAAACTTGAACAAAATTTAGCATTTTCGGTACTCATGAACAGTACCAGACCAGATCACAATTTAGGCCATTAAACCACCATTAAATCATCTCATTAGGTCCTAATGACCCATACAAAACATCCCACACACCATTAAGCCTAATTAACCCCTAAAAATGCACAATTAGACTAATTAGGGGTTTAGGGGTTTATACTCGCCTATTAACGATTCGGGACGACGGGAACGGGCGGTCGATCACCGACGAACGGTAAGGATCGACGGCGGCGCTCCGGTGCAAGCCGGCGGTCCGCAGCGACACCGGCGAAGACAATTAGCTGCTGTTTCTGTTCTGTTTAGGCTGAAACCGGGGCTGTGGTGGCTTGTCTTGAGCAGAAAGGGCTGCTGGTGGTGCTGGCTTGGCGGGGACAGCTCCGGCTGGTACTGTTCCGGCGTGAACAGTACCAGAATGGACAGAACCGTGCACGCCAGAAACAGAAACGGGAAAAGAAATTCACGGGGAAGGGGAGGAGGAGAATGGCTCGGCAGATCAGAACAGAATGGGAGAGAGAGAGAGAAATGTCTGGTCAAATATGGGTCAACAAGTGTGAGTGGATTCCATGTGTCTCAATCTAGGCCAATTGGACAATTTTGCCCTTGATCCAATGGCTATCTTTCCTTCTCATCCAATAATTTAGGGGTAAAATGGTCATTTGTCACTAACCCAAGGCTGACCAGACCTGGTTAGTCCCATTTAACCTTGGTTAAACCCCTAATTAAATTCAATTTTCGGAATTAATTAAAATTGGCCTAGGGGCATTTTCGTAATTTTTTCGATCCCGAACCGAAATTTCAATTTTTGTCCATACCGGTCCTATATATTCATGGTAGACATAATCCGGTGTCGGATCCTTAAAATTCATCCTTTAAGCCCTCGAAAACCGGTCCAAAAGTCTCGAGGGGTAAAACCGTAATTTTTCGTTCCGGGGTCGAAATTCCAATTTTTGACCGTATGCACTCCAGACGTGCATGGTTGCCCCAAAATGGCATCGATTCCGAAAAATAATTTCGTTTGGCCTCGGAAACGAGCATCGAGGTCCCCAGGGGCAAAATTGTAATTTTCCCCAATTTCTGTCGAAATTTCTATATTCAGCTGTTCTTGTCCCAAACTTATTTGGCCACTATAAAATGACGTCCGTCTTACCAAATAGTCGTAATTACCCTTGAAATTTTGATATCGAAGTTTGGGCTCAATATTGCGATCAAAATAACTCGTTTCGAAGTCTTAGGGCCTCTCACTAACGGTCGGCTGTTTAGGTGGTACGCGTATCGACCTAGGATTGTCTGAGTCATGATGGTCTCAAATTTCGAGAGAACGAGAGGAATTATCACTAGTACCGGGGGTCGCGATCGTTTGGATTAAAACCGGGGTTCGTTAGTCAGGCGTACTTTCGGTCGTGCGGAATCACCCGCGATCCGATCGTACGTATCTGACTATATCAATCCGTCATTTTCCTAAGATCGGCCCATATTGGTCCAAAATATTCCCTCGATGTTTCTCGAACTCGGCACTCAATCGCGATCGGGTCCTTAGTCCACGTACCTGATCCTATTTAGCCTTTCCCATTTGGTTAGTATCCCGTGATTGATCAAGTCCGGGCGAGACTTACTAAAATCAAACGAGAATTAATATACACTTTATTGATCCCGATAACAGGTCAAAATTCAGGATGTTACACATATAATGCCTTGCGTAGACGACAAACACTGGTAGACTCCCCCTGAGCAACGAACCCCGGGGGTTGCTCCATATATACCTCCTCTACCAAGTCCCCATGAAGAAAGGCATTCTTGACATCAAGTTGGTGAAGAGTCCAACCATAATGGACAGCAAGAGAGATGAAAACACGAACGGAAGGTATCTTTGCTACAGGAGAGAATGTATCATCATAATCAACTCCATATGTCTGGGTGTAACCTTTGGCAACTAGACGTGCCTTCAGACGCTCAACAGTGCCATCTGGTTGAAACTTCACTATGAAAACCCAACGGCAACCCACAGCCTGTTTCCCAGCAGGTAACGATGTAAGTTGCCATGTCCCATTATCCTGTAGTGCCTGCATTTCATCCTCCATAGCTTGTCGCCAACCTGGATGAGCAAGAGCCTCTCGCAATGAGTACTTGGCACAGATACAGCAGATAAAGAAGCAACAAACGAGGAATATGTAGGAGAAAGACAATCGTATGATAAAAATTGAGAAAGAGGGTAACGAGTATGTGTATGACAAGACAAACCACTATAGGGAGTAAACCGAGGATTGGGTTGACCAACACAAGAACGTGTACCTTTGCGCAATGCAATGGGAATGTCAATAGTAGAATCAGGCTCAGAAGCAACTGGTGGATCAGAAGATGGGACATTGACTGGTGGAGAATCATGCATATCCAATGCAGGCGGTGACTGTACTACCTCACGTTGAACAGACCGGCGCCGTTGATAGGTCTTGTCGGCGAACTGAAAACTAGGCGATGACGTTGATGACTCAGGCATACTCGCTAAGGGAATAGGCGGTAGTGGAGCCATAGTCGAAGATGGAACATCTTCAGAAGGACCCGCTGTAGAGGAGTAATATGACTGATCCTCGAAAAAGGTTACATTTGCTGAGACATACAACCGCCGACTAACTGGACTATAACACTTATACCCTTTCTGAGTTCGAGAATACCCAAGAAACACACATTTGTGGGCCCGTGGATCGAGTTTATCACGACCAGGAGCAAGACGATGCATAAAACAGACACACCCAAACACACGAAGTGGTAAAGTAAAAAGTGGACTTGTGGGATGGATAGTAGAGAAAGGTATGCCCCCATGAAGCACTGAGGATGGAAGGCGATTTATGAGATAGCATGTTGTAAGAACAGCATGCCCCCAGTACATTTTGGGGAGGTTCATATGAAAAAGGAGGCAACGAGCCACATCCAGGAGATGCCGATTTTTTCGTTCAGCCACTCCATTCTGTTGGGGGGTATAAGGACAAGAAGTCTGATGCAAAATCCCATGAGATATAAGAAATGATTGAAAACCAGAGGAAACAGCCATATATTCTTTGGCATTATCAGAACGCAAATATTTAATAGAAACATGATATTGATTGAGAATTTCAAAGTAAAACATACGGAAACATGAAAAAACTTCAGTTCGATCTTTTATTAAATATAACCATGTCATTCGGGAATAATCATCCACGAATGTAACAAAATATTTATAACCAGACATATCGCTGACACGACACGGTCCCCAGACATCAGAATGGACCAACTCAAAAGGACTAGACACACGACGCTGGACACGAGAAGGAAACGACACCCGATGGTGTTTGCCAAATTGGCATGCATCACACTGGATAGGACTCATAGATTTTGAAACAGGTGAAAAATGACGAAGAATGTCAGGTGGTGGATGACCCATACGACAATGCATCTGAAATAAGTCGGAAGCAGTTTTCTTTTGAGCAGCCGCAGTAATGAGGTCTTTGTTCAGGTAGTACAGCCCATTGGACTCATGTCCGCCACCAATCATCCGTCCGGTCCTCAGATCCTGAAAGACGCAACGAGTGGAAGTAAACGTTACAGAACAATTCAAATCTCTAGTAAGAGAACTAATAGAGAGCAAGTTATATGGGAAAGCTGGCAAATGGTAAACAGATGAAAGAGTAAGAGAGGGACCCAAGGTTGCATTCCCTTGACCAGTGATATGGGACTGTGAACCATCAGCAAGTGTAACGGAACTAGGTGACATAAAAGTAATATCAGACAACAGCTTAGAATTACCGGTCATATGATTTGTAGCACCAGAGTCTACGACCCAGGAAGTGGGCGCAGAAGAGAGTAAACAGGACGGACTACCTGAAGAAGTCTGTGCCAAAGTAGCAGTAGGAGCAGAGGAATCCACCACCTGGTTGTGACGCACTAAGGACTCATACTCGGCGCGAGTCAGCATAATGGTACTAGGTAACTCCTGTGACTTATCAGGAACCTTTTGTACTGGAGATTCTACTGCTTCGGCATAAGCAGCCCGTGGACGAAGCTCAGGATGTAGGGTATAGCAATAAGACTCAGTATGGCCAGCTCGCTGACAATGGTTGCAATAACGAGAACTTCCGGCACCCCTACCACCATCTCGGCCACGACCAAGAGAAAAGACAGACCTGCCACGACCCCGAGGAACACGTCCTCGGCCTCCACGGCCACCAGAAGACTGAGAGACCATAGCACTTGCTACAGGTGCAGATGATAATGAGTCAGGCACACATCGAAGGACCCGAGAAAAGACCTCATCTACTGATGGAAGAGTACCCTGGGAGATAATCTGTTGTCGGAGAGAAGAATGAGTAGGACCAAGCCCCCGGAGAAATAACACGACTCTCATATCCTGTTGGCGCTTAGCCAACTCTCTAATGTCATCAGTGGTAGGCAAATAAGTATCCAATTTCTCACAAAGGGTGGTGAATCTAGAATAGTAGTCAGATGCAGACATGTCTCCAATACGTAGGTCAAATAGCTCCTCCCACACATCACAAACACGGGTCATATTATCACGACCCGAAAACATAAGAGCACATTTGTCCCAAATAGCTTTGGCTGATGTACACTGCATAAACTGAGGACTAATCTTGGAATCCATGGTATTCCACAACAATGTTCGAATAGCAGCATCGCCAGAACGCCAATCATCCTCCTTTGTTTTATCCGTAGGTGGAGATGAAGTCAGATAACTCAGCTGTTTGGTGGCTAAAAGATACGTTTCGACTGCCATAGACCAAGAAGGGTAATTGGTCCCATCGAGCTTAACAGAGGTCAACTTCAGATTAGTAAGACTGGTATCCGTGTTTCCAGAATTGCCAGCCATAACTCAATAATAATATCAAAATAAACTTAACCGAAATTTGCACCTTGTGCACCAATTGTAATAATTACCACCAATTACCACCAAACATAATAACTCATCATGATAGAAGCACAAATCAACATAGGGCATTAACAAACCCAATAATCAATCATCGCAAGTAAACTTCAACACGAGGCAGGGACTTTAGTTTTGCAAGAAAAGAACGCCTATGTGATATGCGTCGGGCAAATAACAGTGTGATTCACCAAAAATTAATATTCCCATTCTCAAATATTTCTTCTGGCTGCTGAACCTATAATGCTCGTTTACACTTGAGTACGAGCAAGGCCCACCTTGTGACTTCACTTTCCTCTCACTCACCTTTTGACTCTGAAGGACATCGTTGGCAGCTCTGTGGAACCAGCAACACTCATGAACCAGCAACCCTCGTAGAATCAGCAAAACTCGTGGACTCTGGAGGTCATCGTTGACGGCTCTGTGGAACCAGCTACGCTCGTAGAACCAGCAACACTCGTGGACTCTGGATTTCGTCGTTGCTTCAAATTCAAACTCAAACTCAAACTCGCGGCTTCAGAACTTGGTGGAACATCGCCAGATCTGAGTTCAGCAAGGCCCAGCGATGCCGGACTAGAACTAGGCAATGTTGGCGCGACTCAGGACGACTCAAAGCGACAGTAACGAGGTGTCGATTTGGTGAATCAACGGATGAATCAATGCCGGAATGGTGTCGGAAGAGTCGCCGGAGTCGCGGGAGTCGTGGACGTTGTGGACGTTGCGGACGCCGGCGGTGCGGTTGTTGCAGGAGTCGTGGTAGCCGCCGCCAGCGTAGATTCCAAGGCCAGCGGCAGTGACTTCTCCGGTGACAACAGTGGCCTCCGGTGGCTAGGGTAACAGTTGAAGGACTAGGGTTTTGTTTATTGGCTCTGATACCATGTTGAAAAACACAATCGTCATTAACTTAATCAAATTACATCATCTATATATATATAGTGAGCATTATGGCTCACTAATTATGGAGAAGACTAAACTACCCTTTCAACAATCATAAAAATCTTCATGCATGTTCACGATCTCTATCTTATATTTTCACTCTTTTGTCTTTTTGCTTTATTGTCATTCATCCCTTGACAAATTTTATCCTTGCAACCAACTCTTTATTCCTGGAATTATTTTTTATTCATCACTTCACCCATATACTATTTTTTCTTGTCATTCATCGTTAATTAGTTTAATAAACAATGTCATCATTATCATCCTTGCATCAACATTAACAGAGAAAACTGAACTACTCTAGTAAGTACACCATAAGCCATGCATATGACATGCTAAAAATTTTAAACTTGTTGCATGTTAAAAACACGGCCAAAATCAACCATAATCAAATAACAAAGTGGTTGTGATAAACCATATTCCTTATCATTCATCCTTTTTTTTTTTCCATTCGGGAAAACATGGTGAACTCAAACTCATATGATCTTCAGTCTTTTCAATTTATTTTCCAGGAAAACCATCAGAGACAATGGCGAGCCCCAGCACGAGGATCGACGATGGACGTGATGTGGACAGTGATAACTCCGGACCGATGAGAGAAAAGTTATCTGTGTTGATTGTGGATGATGAATTGCTCGTGCGTAAAGTACATGAGAGACTTGTGAGCAAGCTCGAAGTAGCAAAACAAGTCCAGACTCAAACTGCCACAAATGGAAAGGAGGCCTTGGATCTTCACCTTTCTGGTTCATCTTTTGATATTATTCTCGTGGACCTGCAAATGCCCATCATGGATGGCACAGAAGTAAAAATTAATTAATTCGTCATCCGTCTCATATTTGATACATACATATGTCCAATATCAAGTGGAGCTATGATGTACAATTTCTTCCTTGTTTTCACGTGTAGGCGACGAAGGAGCTGCGAGCAATGGGGGTAGAGAGCATGATCGTGGGAGTGACTTCAGTGGACGCCGGAGCCGACAAGGAAGCTTTCATGGAAGCGGGTCTGGATGAGTGCCTTGCAAAGCCACTGACAGCTGACAAGATCAAGTCTCTTGTCGAAACCCTAGAGAAGAACAAATAGAGATGTGACCATGGTCAGCGTATAACTAAAGGAAGAATAATGAGTATAATGAGTGATCGTGCAAAATATAGAGTAATAGGGCTCACCTAGTTTATTTGATTATATAGATCTATGACTGAGCATGGTAACATGAGTTTTGTAATCATGCAAAGTCATTCGTTGATTATATCTACTGCCTATTAATCAAAGGGAAGTTATGAAAATGCTAAGTGTTCATGCTCTGTGATGAAGATCGGTAGCTGTTATTGAGATCAACCGAGGATTTACTGTTCGCCGTCAACACACACACATATTTTTCTGGAATGTTGTAATTTGTTTTTGATTTTCAGTTTTTTATTGATTAGTTATGTAACTATGACTGATTTACTGATAGCAAACTCCCGCAGTTTTTTGGGACCATTCTTGTGTACATTAATTCCTAGAATAAAAAACACGATGACAACATTTTTATTCTTTGCATAATATTCACTGTTGACATGGTGTGAGAGCGATCCGAAAATTAGAAGCACGTGATGAAACCAAATTGGCATTCAGTTTAGACAAAATATTAAACCTGAGGACATAACTATGATTTTAATTATCCAATCATTGGCTAAGCTTTCAATTATTTTGGAATCGATGCTCTTCAGCTATTATCTGACAACATTTTCTGGGAACGTGATGTGGCAGCTTGTGTGGCATAGGCCCTTTATTGGACACTTGACACTGATCATGCAAACCCAATTAGATGATATAACAAGAAAACTTTGTTTAAAAAATGTGCTTATTTCTTTCAAAAAGCTAGAAGGATAGGAAACCTTTCTTTGGCAAAGTGTTGCTAGCTCGCCGCCATCCGTGGAGAGGACGTGCAAGCCGTTGCTCTGCAATTTAAGGAGGGAGGGAGGGGATAGGGGCTTTATGGTGCTTGTGAGTGTGGCATGATCTTCACTGGGCCGATGTTGCAACGGGGACGATTGACCCTCGCCACTGGAAATGCTAGGGGGCGGCAACCACGTTAGAACATGGCCTAGGCCCACGCGGACTCTACCCTGCCACCGTTGAGGGTCAAACCACCCTCCCTAATGATTGCAGAGGGTGGCGGCGCCCCCTGGGCACCCTTAGTCATTGTCATACCAAAACTGTGGTTCAAGGTAGTCAATGATCTTCTTGTCCACTTGGAACGCCTGGTGAGCACATCTTGGGAGATCGATGACCTTGCTCTGAAAATGGCATTGGCAATGGTAATGACTTCCGGGCTCTGGCTGCTCAGACCAGCAAAGGCCAGTGGATACATGTTTCCAATGTTCAGCTGGAAGTGAATGAGACCGATGGAGAGCACAAACACATCCCCCTTGCACAGGACTCCAGTGAAGAGGGTGTTGTTCAAATGGTTGGAGGTGACAAATCCCACGAGGAGTGTGCCCTCGATGACGACGATGACCTTGGTACCCCGAGGGTGAGTGTGGGGAAGGTCTAGGCATTTGGAGCAAAGTAGATGCGAGCCATGGATATGCCTAGAGTATTGAGTCCGGCAAACTAGGGGAAAAGTGCCAAAAAAGTCATAAACCTTTTGCATTTGTGCCAATTTAGTCATAAACATTTTTTTGATGTCAATTCAGTCTTAAACTTTTTGCATTGGTGTCAATTTAGTCCTAAACCTTTTTTTGGTGCCAATTGAGTCCTAAACCTTTTGCATTTGTGCCAATTCAGTTCTAAACCTTTTTGTTTTTGTGTCAATTCAGTCATTCCGGTCAATTTTGGCCCGATTTTACTGACGCGGACGCCGACCGGCCGGCGGCCAGTCACCGGCGCTGACGTGGACAACTTTAATAATATTTTCATATTTTTTTTGAATTTTTTTCTTTCTCTCCCCTCCCTCCAACCGATCGCCAAATCGGCGACCGGCTAGAGGCCAAAGGCCAGCGTGGGCACTGGCGAGGCTTGCCCTCGCTGGCCACTGTCGAGGGCGGCTTTGCGTTGGGCGAGGCTTGACCATGCCCGATCTGGCGAGGTCGAGCCTCGCCGGCGGCTAGGCGAGGCTTGCCCTCGCCAGTGACGGCGAAGTCGAGCCTTGCCCAGCCGTCGGCGAGCCTCGACCTCGCTAGATCCGGCGAGGTCGGGCCTCGCCCAGCCATGGCGAGGCTTGGGCCCTTGTCGGAGGCCGCTGGCGAGGGCTTGAGCCTCGCCATGGCTGGGCGAGGCCCGACCTCGCCAGATCTGGCGAGGTCAAGCCTCGCTGGCGGCTGGGCGAGGCTCGACCTCACTAGATCCGGCAGGGTCCAGCCTTGCCCAGCCATGGCGAGGCTTGCCTTCGCCATCGCTGGCGAGGGCGAGCCTCGCCGGCTGCTGGGCGAGGCCCGATCTCACCGGATCGGCTCGGCAAGGCACGACCTCGCCGGATTTGGCGAGGTCGGGCCTCGCCCAGCCATGGCGAGGCTCGCCTCGCCGGGCGAGGGCGAGCCTCGTCGGCGGCCGGGCGAGGCACGACCTCGCCGGATCTCGGTGAGGTCGGGCCTCGCTCGCCGTGAGGCCGCCCTCACCAGTGGCCGGCGAGGGCGAGCCTCGCCAGTGGCCGGCGTGGGCGAGCCTCGCCGGCGCCGGCCTCTGGCCACCGGCCGGTCGCTGGTCCGGCAACCGGCTGGAGGAGGGGAGAGAAAAAAAAAAGAAAAGAAAAAAAGAAAAAAATTAAAAACAAATTAAAATATTATTAAAAGTTGTCCACGTCAGCGCCGGTGATCGGCCGGTCGGCGTCCACGTAAGCAAAATCCGGCCAAAATTGACCAACAGGACTGAATTGGCACAAAGACAAAATGTTTAAAACTGAATTGGCACAAATGCAAAAGGTTTAGGACTCAATTGGCACCAAAAAAAGGTTTAGGACTAAATTGGCACCAATGCAAAAGGTTTATGACTGAATTGGCACAAAAAAAAGGTTTAGGACTAAATTGGCATCAATGCAAAAGGTTTAAGAATTTTTTGGCACTTTTCTTGGCAAACTAGTCAATGAGTCAATTTGGGTTAGACCATTTTTTACCCAACCCGAATCTGACCTGACTCACCCCACCTGTTTGACAAGTCTATAAAAAGCAATACTTTTTCAATTTTTTAAAATAAAGTTTTGTTATTCTATCTTCTAGTTGGTTTTGTATGATCAGAGAAAAGATGACAGATTAATTGAGCCATATATAACTTATGATATCATTAGTAGTTTCCACAAGAGATTGTAAAAAATAAGTCAATAATTCATCTCAATGGTCATTGGGCAATAACATATCATCTACTGAGGAACTCTCCATCCCAACCCCACCCATCCCCCTCTCCTTGTTTCGAGGAAAGTTCAAAATAAGTGGGAGACCAAGACTCACTATAACAAAATTGAAGTCCCCTGCCACATATCATACAGAGCAGGTGTTCGGTGGAGAATAGAGTGCACCTCAGCCAGAGAACTTTCCATACTTCACAAGCAGAGAAGGACAATTATCTCATGAAATTTCAATATCTAAAACGGTTCGGATGTGAAGCTCACAGGAGAAGTACAAGTTAAAAAGTCACTATCATCCAGACAGACATCTTCAACAACTCTCCCATTTTTTCATGTCACATTAAATTATTGCTGACTCCAGGCCATAGCAGAGCTGACCGCAATAGTGGTCTCTGCTTATTTGCTATTTCTTCGTCTGAATCATCCCAATCTTGCATACAAGGTTTTTCTTGTTCATCCCCTTGAGTCCTGATTTTACTTCATCAAAAACTTCAAAGTTAAAAACAGAAACGAAATTTGTTAATCTGGGGAGGATTAACCTAGCTCTTTGGTATTTCCTCAGCGTTAGTCACATCCTTCTCTTCTGGCAATAAAATATTTTAGATTCACTCCATGTGTTCAATTTCTTTCTGTTGTGGGTCTAACTGTTTGATATGATAGAATGAGTCTAAACAATATCTTCTTCCTTACAACAATGTTGAGCACACGAAACATTATTAGATTTTTGTCGAATAAGTGAGATGGCAGTTTGAATTCCAAGAAAGAAAATCGATTAGCTGCACCATTGTTCTGTATCTGAAGTGTGTTGGCCAAAGCAACACTATATGAGAGGAGCTATTAAGATAAGTATATTAACATGATCAATTTTGTTTCCGGTGCAGTGCTTGCAAATGAGAAATTTTGCAAGGACCCCAAGAAAGCCACAGCAGATGATTTGTTCTTCATGGGGTTCAGAACTCCAGGGAACACCTCAAACCCACTCGGATCGAAAGTTATGCCCGCTTTGTCGACCAGTAGACTAGTCAAAATGGGTTCAGACCTAAGTGTTAAATATGTTTACAACTTACTTAGACTCAACTCACCTCTATGACTCTCTCTTCACTCCCTCTTGATCTCGTGCTCGCTCAGTCCATGTTTTCATCTCAGTTTGAGTATGAATTTGCTTAAATTGAGTTAAACATGAAAGTGTTTTAGCAATATAGGTCGGGTCGTGTATGTGTTGAGTATGGATGGGATCGGGTATGAGACACTAAATTTGTATTACATAAAAATGAGTCAAATTTTTTTTACAAATAATAGAAGGTTAGGAACCTTGCTTTGGCAAAGTGTTGCTAGCCTTCCGCCATCCTAATGGGTCAAATTTTTTTTTACAAATAATAGATGGTTTGGAACCCTTGCTTTGGCAAAGTATTGCTAGCCTTCCGCCATCCAAGAAAGCACTAGTAGGCCTTTGTTGTGTGGTGTCTAGGGCTCAGCCAGCCTCGCTGAGAACTGGCTAAGGCTCTTGAGCCTTTTTTCTACAATTTGAGGGCTCATGATCCCTAACCTTGGTGTGAGGGTTGTGTTGAAAGGCCTTCCTTGCCTTCGTTAAGGCTAACCTGGCGATGATTGACCCTTACAACTGGAAATACTATGAGGCTGTGACCCTTCTAAAGCATGGCCTAGGCCTAGCAAGGCCTCAAAGAGTGCCAGGTGGACCCTACCCTCCACAACATAAAGAAATGAACAGCAACCTTCAAGAAACGGTGCAATGACCTGGGACTATATCCATGTAGGACAAGTCTTGAAAAGGAACATGCGAGTGATGGCTCTTATCACGACCATTCATGTACTAGTGAAGGTGATTTGACGTGATTTACGGGCGAAAAACCGAGCCAAGTCATCGAGAGGACCCTAACCATGTTTGTCTTAGACAATTGCTATCTGACACCTTTTCAAAGCTCAACTAGTTTGAGTTAGGACTGATACTATATTGGCTCTGCAAATGTT